GCTGAAGCCTCTCAATGCTCTGAGAGCTAAGCGGCCAGGATCCCCTGGAGACAGGAGATGGGGCCACTCCAGCAGCCTTGGCCACTGTGAAGTCCCCTTTGTTAGCTGAGTAGGAAGCATTACCGAGCAGGCTCACTGAGCTGGAATCCCAAGAGCGTTTGCGGATTCCTGAGTGTTTAAATTTAGCAGATTACTTCAAGCAGGAGAAACCTGGGGAACCTGAGCCCTGGGAAATAGAAACAAATGGTCCGGCTGCCCCTGCTTGCTCCAGCGGTCTGGAGTTCCTTGGGAAAAGGTGGAGGAGGGGCTTGTGTAAACTGAGTGGGGACCATGGCGACCCAGACCAGATGGCAGTGGGCACCAGTTGTAAACACTCACTGCTTCACTGCCACAGTGCTGTGCCACCTCTTCATGGCCAGGGCACGCAGTAACACCTCAGTCCCAGCTGGTTTGAAACTGGCTCGTTTGGTCTTTGGTGCATTCTGGAGGGAAAGTTTTGTGCTCGGCATTTGTTTTGTACTTATTTTGGGTACTCGGCGGGCCTTCCAGAACCAGTTAACAGTGAGCATCAAGGTATTTGATTTCCAAAACAATCTTGAGAATTGTAAAGCAGTCTTTGATCTCTGAGCCTTGGGTTCACGGCTGGGTCAATGAGCGGCCCTGTCCAGAGTGGGAAGATCCTGCACAGGCAGAGTGGCCCAGAGTTCTCCGTGGACTTGGAACTGAGGTTCTCAGTGACCCCATTACAACTGCAGGCTGCGAGCTATCGACTCCCAGTTACCTCCTGGGGCTGCCCTATCTCTGATCAGGCTACCTCTCTTCTCTTCTGGGGACCACTAACAAACACCTTTGTTTTGCCGTTGGAGGTGCTCAGTATTGGCTGGAAGCCTGGTCATTTAGGGAGGTGCTTAGCAAAAGCACCCAGTATGTCCAGGAAACCCTAACAGGGCCTGCCTGGGAGAGCAGTGTTGGCCAAATATGAGGGCCAGTGTATCAAGACGATGTGAAAGACGATACAAAGGGGAGTTGTTTCTGGCGACTCGGGCATCGATGCCCACTGCTGACCAAATAAATCATGCCTGTAATTCCTATATTCTGGGATGCCGAGGCAGGAGAATTGCAAGTTCAAGCCCAACCTGGGCAAAAAACTCAGTGACTTAGTGGGTCAGAACAATACAAAACAAAACTGGGTATTTTCACTAAGCACCACCCTGAATGACCAAGGCCCAAGCTCCTAGCTAGTACAGAGCACCACGGAGCCAGCATGGGGCCCCATGATGTGAAGCCATTTATTTTGGTGAAAAGCCAAAAGATCCAAGAGGGAAAAGGGGGCTCCTGTTGCACAAATCACCACTACAGCAAGAAGAAAGGGGAGAGGAAACACAGCGAGACAGAAGACTTCCGCTTGCTTCATTCCTCCGGCACCCCACGTGGTGCCTCCTTTCCCGGTGGAAAGGAACCCAGACTTTGGCCGAGGGAGCCAAGGCCCACACACCTTGTCCAGTTGGGCTGAGGAGAGGAGGGAGTGACCGCTGAACCTTAAACCCTGAGAAGCTCAGGAACAGGCTTGTCAATAAAGAAATTTAACTTTTCCTTTTGCCCCGTGGGTTATATAATGATTTTTTTACTAAGTTAAATTTAATTAATTTAGGGGGCTGGGGATTTAGCTCAGCGGCATAAGCACCTGCCTTGCAAGCAGGCAGTCGAGAGTTCGATCCCTGGTACTGGTAAAAAGGAAAAAGACAAAAAAAAACATTTAATTAATTTAGAGTCCTATTGTCCTGAGCTATATCCTTCCTACATTTTTGGTGTTGAAACTGTCTTTTATGAAATAGTTACCACAGTAGGGAACAGTCTACTTTGCTGTTCTGACCGGGAGAGCTAAAAGTGGATTTCCTGTGTGAAGCCCCACAACTGCCTTAGACCCACCCTGAGCCCGGGAAGCCCTAGCTTCTTTCAAGGTGCTGTGACTCCAATAGCATCAGGTGGAGGGCGCTAGAGGGCTCATGCTGAGTGGGATGAGGGTGAACATGAGAGAATCAACCCCTAAAGTTAGGCTTTACCCTTCTCTCCCCCAAAAAAGTTCATGTCGAAAGAAAAGAGCCATTGATGTTTTGGTTTTATTACACATTATTATCTTTTTTGTTTGTTTGTTTTTTGTTTTTTGTCTTTTTCCTTTTTACTGGTACCAGGGATCGAACTCACGACTGCCTGCTTGCAAGGCAGGTGCTTATGCCGCTGAGCTAAATCCCCAGCCCCCACACATTATTATCTTCACCTTTTAAAAAGCAAAACTCCCTGATTGATGTGTTTTGAAAATTTTTTTTCTCTTTGAAATAAAACGGATTTTAAAAAAATAAAAATAGGGGCTGGGGATTGAGCTCAGTGGCATAAGCGCCTGCCTTGCAAGCAGGCAGTCGTGAGTTCGATCCCCAGTACCGATAAAAAGGAAAAAGATAAAAAAATAAAAATAAAAACAACAATGAGGAAACTAAGTACTTGGGTGTGATGGGGCACGCCTGTAGTCCCAGCACTCAGGAGGCTGAGGCAGGAGGGTCACAATGAATAGAGGCCAGCCTGGACTTCAGATTGAGTCCAGAGCAAGGCCAGCCTGGGCCAGATCCTGTCTTACACAAAGGTGGGGAGACCAAGACCTGAAGGTATAAGTGATCTGCCCTAGTTAGCAGCAGGGCCTGTTGCTGAAGCCAGCAAGGCTTGGCTGTGGAATCCATGCTCTTAATCCTCACACCCACAGCCTAGGTAAGGAGCAGCTCGAGGCTTTGCTGGTGAGGCGGGGTCTATTTTTAGCCTCTGATTCCACAGGCTGAGAGTGCCTGGGGACCACGCTGGCTGATCTGTGTGGGGCCCTGTCAGTGATGCTCTCTGGGTGTCCCCAGAGCTCCTCAGGAACCAGAGCCAGGTGCAACAACAACAGTGAACTTCGGATAAGGCTCACTGGCCCTCCAATGTGCAATCTGAGAGGCCCTCTAGAGCCTGCTCTGATAGTTTAACCAAACCTCTTTCCTCCAATGGGAGACCTACACGCAGTTAATGTAGGCTTACCCATATAGCAACGTGTCTGTGTACCTACACTCACACACCCATGTGGAAACCCTTCACAGGCAGTACAGGGGCCTCCTCTCATTTCCCATGCTGACCTGAGTCTCTGTTTGGTGCCCTAGAACTTGGAGGAACACAGCTTTTGGTTTTTGTTTTAAAACGTCTTTATTTTATTAATACATTTTAGACATCTGTAATGATTGTGCTATCAGAGGGAGTTTGTACCTATACTTCTTTTTTCTCGTTCCCCTCCATAGAGGGGTGGTTTGAAAACCATTGTTCCAAGCCAGGTTTTCCTGAAGCCTGTCCTGCAAAAAAAAGGTTGATCCCGTAAGATGCTTTCTAGAAAAAAGAAAAAAAAAAAACAAGTTTTTTTTTTTGTGTGTGGTAAATATTGAGAATATTTTTTTTTTTTTGTGGTAAAAGTTGAGAAACGCTGGCCATGCTTGGTTTTATAACCACTTGCTAGCATTTTTTTTTATTTTAAAGGGGGTAAAATTAAGCACAACAAAACAGAACAAAATAGGACATAAGAAACAATATAAGAGATACAAATTTCAAAGCTAGACGACCTGAGATCTTCACTGTCTATCATATTGTCTCTTATTGTCTTCCAAATAGTTGTCCATGTCTTCGCATACAGAGAATTCATACAAAACAACATAGTATAAAACTGATCCAAACAGAATGAGGAAGGCGTTTTAGGTCTTCAGACCCAGACAGTAGGGAAGTCACTAACGGCTGTCTTAGAGTCTCTCATTCTCTTCAAAATAGCTGTCCATACTTTCATGTATATTGAAGTTCAAAAAAACAAAACAGGCAAGTGGGGAGGGGTTGCTTGGTTTTCTGGCACTCCAGGTCCCAGCATGGCGCGGGTCCCAGTAAACTCAGGTGGCTGCTGTCCTGGGCCGTCGTTGCCACTTGCTAGCATATTAAAGGCTCTAAGAAGCCCTGAAGGTGGAGAAACCACCCTTAGTCTGCAATTTCCCTTAAAAGGATGGATGAATTATGTGACGGTCATACAACAGCTTACAACAGAGCCATGGAAACAAAACAACAGCTACCTACGGACACATTTTACCAATAGGTTAGCGGGGAGAGACTGATAGGACCATTCCCATAAAACTCAGAGACAGGCAAAGCCCAGCATCTTTGGAGCTGCACTGTGAGTAATTACTCATGGAGAGTGAAGTGCTGGCTGGGAGGAGGAGGAGGTGGCTTAGAAGGCTCTGGCTGTAGCTTCGTTTTGACCCGTGTGGTGTGCTTAATCCACGAGAATGACCTGTGCAGGTGTGTGTGCATGGTTTAGGTCTAAAATGTCTCTCAAAAGTCTCATGGGTTTGGGAGTGACTGAGTGCCAGAGGCGCTACACTCTTGGGCGACTGACCCACTGCAGAACTCCCAGCTGGACGTGTGGTTGGACAGTCCTAGGGGAAGCATTCGCCAGGGGCGTCGCCTCCAAGGGTATGTTCTTTTTTATTTTTTGTCTTCTGGAGACAAGGTCTCACTAGCAACAGTTCAGGTTGGCTTTGAACTGGCTTTGTAGCTGGCCTCAGCTTCAAAGTCCTCAGCCTCTCAGGGGCTGGGACTACAGGCATGCGCAACCCTGCCTACCGAGGGTGTACTCTTGACCTGGCTGTTCCCTTTGCTGAGGTGGACAACTTTCCTGTCACATTGTTCCACCATGCCTTCCTGTGTTAGAGCTAGCTTGCCATACACAGAACTGTCCCAAAGTGTGAGTGTTATTTTTTTGTGGCTTCTGAGACAGGCTCTCTCGATGTAATTCAGGCTGGCTTTGAACTCAGTGTGTAGCCCAGGCTGGCCGGGAACTCATGGCAATGCTCTTACCTCAGCTTTCTGAATGCTGAGACTACAGATATGTGCTGCCACACCCAGCAACTACGAGCCAATTTAACTTCTTCTCTTTTAAATCGTAAGAACTAGGTGTTTTGTGCCAGAGATAGATTCTAAATTTTAAAAAAAGAAAAAGGAACTGAGAGTGGCGGCACACACTTGTAACCCTAGCACTCAGGAGGCTGAGGCAGAGGCTATCCCGGTCTATACAGTGAGTTTAAGGCCAGCTGGAACTATGTAGGGAGACTCTGTTTTGCCCCCTCCCCCGCAAAAAAAAAGGAAAACAAAAAACACAGAAACAGTGAAAGGACCAAAAACATATACATAAGTTTAGCTCTAAAATTTTTTGTAATTTGCATTTTTTTTTTTTTTTTTTTTTTTTGAGACAGCTCCAAACAATAACACTATGCTTCCTCTCCGGGTCTCCTTTTTATGCTGGCAGCCATCCTCAGGTGGGTCGTCCACGTGCAGCACCATGCTGATTCAGTTCAGCTCTTGTTACCAGTTTTCAGTACACCTCAGACCTGTATTATGAGCGCTGCAGGTGTCAGGTAAGGGAAGATCCAGCTTGTGGTGGGTTGGGCAGCTGAGTCGTGGGCACTACACTCTGTTCCTGCCGACAAAATGCAGCCACTGAGAGTGAGCATCTGACACCTGAATGGAATGGCAGCTCTGGATGGGAGGTGACAAAGGACTTACAATTCCTGACCCTGCAGCTGTGGCCACTTTCTTTGAGTCAGTAGTGTAACATTTGCAGTACTCAAGAGATTGCTGTTCAGACAAGAAAAAAACCTACAAACAGGCAGTTGTTGCCAGGGCAGCAGGCAACAGAAGGTGGCTGTGACTGCCTGCTACCATGGTAACGCTGATAGCTGTACAAGCAGGCTTGAGGTGCATAGCTGACATTGTCACCAGTGTTAGATTTATCTGGGGTTCTATTTAAATCTTGAATTTCCAGGACACATGACCTCAGGTTCACAGTTTGTAGGAGTGGGATAGGATCTGGAATCTGCCTTTGAGCAATACCCCAGGCAACATGTAAAAAGTCTCCAATGCCATTAATATTTGAGGACCACTAACTGAAGAAAACCACATCTCTGGTAAGAATCCCAATATAAATCTCTCACATATTTGGTCTGAGAACCAGAGCTACTTTCTTGGTTACAAAGACTGAACCTTAAAAAGATAGAGGTTATATATTCTACTAGGAATTTATCATGATAAATATCTAAGTCTTCCCAAGTGTTAAGTATTTAAATAGGCTTTTCAACATTTCTGTAAGAAAGGTTGGGAATTTAGCTCAGAGGTAGAGTTCCTAACATGTGGGAGGCCCTGGGTTGGATCCCCAGTAGCCCACTTCCTCCCCTCAAAAAAAAAGATTGTATCGGTACATTCCCCTAATAACATCACAGAGCTATCACACTGTAGCGATTTGGGGTTCCCCAAGTAAATCCCTCCCAGTTGGGAATGCTGCTTCAGATTACTGCGGAGGACTGACGTCCAAGAAGGGGTCACCACTGACCAGTACTGGAGAGGGTGGCTGAGATGTAGGGCTAAGTTCCAGTTATGCTGAAAGGCAGCACAGTTTCTCGGTAGGTGGGACCAACCCCAACACAGGTTTGGGATATTTCTGAAAATCTTGGTTGCCCCAGCAGCAGCTGCTGATGGGAGTGTCTTCCCATCCCTCCTGTGGGTAAGAGCTAGTAAGTTCATGATCAAAGTGTGGTTTTATGTTTCCCTAACTGTACTTGTCCCTCAAGGTCTGGGTGGCTTCCAGTGTGCTAGTGGCAGTGGGCATCTTAACTGCCACCTCGCACCTGTTCCTCAGCCCTGCTCCCTGTTAGAAACCCCAGGTTTGCTCAGGTACCTCTCCAGCCCCGACCTGGCCTACCATCTGATTAGTCCCTGTGTGACCCTTCCTTGGCCAGCCCTTTTAAATGTTTTTTATTTTGAAATAGGGTCCTACTTAGTTGCCCAGCCCAACTCATGCCTCCTACTTCAGTCTTCCAAGCAGCCAGGACTACGATGCTCATCGCCTCGAGAGCTGCAAGGCAGACAGATGAAAGACAGATGCTGGTTACGTAATCATTTATCCACTATACGTTTGAACTTCCCCATGGCTTAAGCCTTTTTTAACAGGGTTTTCTGTCTCTTGCAATGAAGTTTCCTAATGTCTATGGTGGCTGGCTTACCTCGCATTTTTGTCTTTTGTAATGTATATGCAAAAAATAAAAGACCAAAGAAAGAAGACCATGGTTTGGGGTTTGAGGAATTGATGGTCCACAGAATAAGATCTGCATCTCCCTTCTGTATAAACAACTTTTGTTCCCACTAGGGTCCAGGTCCAGAAAAAAAATTCATTAAGTCAACTTTTATTTCCATTTCTTATCTCAAAAATGTATTCGTTTAGTTCCTGTGAACAGGCAAATTGTCTGCTGAGGTTGATGTGGGATGCCAAAGTGAGAAAATCAAGTCAATGAGGAAATGGTTTCATTTCTTTTTTTTTTTTTTTTTTTTTTTTTTGTCTTTTTCATTTTTATCGGTACCAGGGATCGAACTCACGACCGCCTGCTTGCAAGGCAGGTGCTTATGCCGCTGAGCTAAATCCCCAGCCCAATGGTTTCATTTCTAATAAGGGAAAGCCTACACTTCTTAAATACAGGTGAGTGTGCTCTCGAATCCTGACAGTAGCAAGCTTCAGACGTTGGCTTTGGTGTGGGTACTGTTTAACCAGAATGGGGAAAGGACCCAGTGAGGGTGAAAGCTGTGACAGAGACCTGTAGGCGCTGGACGTATGCTTCATGTTAAGTCCTTCGTGTTACCTTTCTTCCTTTCTCTCTTTATCTGTGACAGGGTCTCCACATAATTCTGTCTGGGCTGGAGCGTCCTGTGTACCCCTAGCTGGACTCAAGCTGGTGGTGCTTCTCCTCTCTCAGCCCTAGAGTGCTGGGATCACAGGCCACTGAACCCGGCTCTACCACTCAGTTAGATGGCCATCTAGAGACTGAGGCTGGAGTGATTGGTGATATCAGTTTGAGACTGACAAGAAATGCCTTATTCATTTTTCCCTGTGCTAGTGGGGGCTGGGGGGGACTAGGCTGACAGCTGGCGTGCCCCACCCTACTCCCCTTTTTTCCCCCTTGGCCTGGGACTTGCCTCAGAGTCCTGTCTGACTATGTAGTGTCTCTTCTCTGGCTATCGACTGCCATTCTCTACTCCAACATGACTCTAGAATATTTGAGGCCAGAGAGGGCACCCTGGAGTGGCTAAGATCAGGAATGGGGGCCCTATTTGCACGCCCACTATGCACAGCAGACCTTCCAGAAGATTCCCTGGTTTCAACTCTCACCCTTACTGAAACAGGTCTGCAGTGGCTGCATAAGTAATGCTTGAGGAACTTGAGTTTTAGCCTCTGAGGGGTCCCTCCTGTGTGCTGACCACAGAGACTCACTTCAGGCTTCCTGTAAACCTGCTCATAATGCATTTCTCAGGTAGTGTGGCCTCCAAAAGCCCTGTCAATCTACATTGACTTTTATCCTGAGCAGTGTGGACAGAGTGCAGACACGGCTGTGAACATTAATGAGCTCTAGAGACCAGGGGCCACCAAAGAATGGTGGCAGAGACCAACCCCTCAGCAAGGTTGACTTATGAGGTCCTACTAATGCTGGACTTCTGGGGTGCTAGAGTCTCCTTCTAAAGCTGATTTGTGGGTTCTTTCTATCCCAAAAGAGAACCATATGAAACAAACACGAATGGTGGCAGCTTCACATTTACTAAGGGTAGGAAAATACCCTTAGTCGGCAGAGGTTGAGCCAAGGAGAAAAAGAGGGAAAGGAAAACACCCCCGACAGTGTGGGGCGGGCTGCTGTGCAGAGACATGGGAGTGCTGTTTTACGCTTCCCACACTGCATTATGTTCAGGTCCGTCTATCAAAAAGCTGTGCTGGTTCTTTTGAGCAGCCCACATGCAGGGCTCTGAGAATTGCTCTGTTTGTGGGCAGAGATCTTATTTCGCCTCCTTTCCCCACTATCCTATCTTTCTGTCTCACTATGGTGCCCAGCACAAGCCAGCATTGGATGTGACTGGCATGGGACTGTGATAGCCAGCTGTGGCAGTGACCGGCAGCTGGCTGCATCGGTTCCTGGCATCCAACATTACCTGGTATCATGTGGTGACAGACTTTGCTAACAGCGGCACTTTGCTGATTCACGGTCTTCATCTGAATGGAACCAAACAACCCTCGGCTGGTAGGCCACAAATTCTATCTGGAAGCAAACTGCACTATTGTCTTGCTCAGGTTTCAGCAGCTACAAGAAACATCTGAAGCAGGACAGAAACTGTAAGAATGACAGCCTTGGGCTGATTCCTTTAAAAAATGTAACTAAGGAAGAAGCCAGGCCCTGAGGTGCCACTGCTCCACACCTCTGTGCCACCCTGGGAACTTTAGATCAGTGGAACCTAGGTGCTGAGCCCAATCACCTACACCACAGGATGGGCAGCCAGTGCAGGGAACACCTGGGACGCAGCAACCAGCAAATGGTAGTGGAACACAGGCAAATGTCAAGAGGAAGGAGCAGGGTGTGCAATCCAGTCCTCCAGCCCACCCAGAGCAGGTCCAACAGACACAGACACAAAAGAAATTAGAAGTCACGTACCTGAAATCTCTGAAATGATAGCAATGGAAGTAAAGAGACAACTTAGTGCTATATTGCTTAATTTCGCATGCCTACATCTGGTAGTCTGAGCAACTATTTAGAGGATAACAATGTGCAATACAGTAGCTACTGTTGATTTCCTACTGTTCTGTTTTTGAAATCCAATTGTTCTCATTGTTTTGTTTCATTTTATTGTTTTGTTTGCTTTATTCTCTTTAAAATAAAAAATGTAATTAAATGTAGAGCATTGGCTGGGTATGAAGCTCAGCTGTAGGATGCTTGCCTTGCTTGCATGTACAAGACCCTGGACTTAACCCCAGCATTACAAACAATTTAAAAAATTTTAAAAAGTACAGTATTGTAAAAGGCATTAAAAGGGGCTGGGGATTTAGCTCAGCGGCATAAGCGCCTGCCTTGTAAGCAGGCAGTCGTGAGTTCGATGCCTGGTACCAATAAAAAGGAAAAAGACAACAACAACAAAAAAAAGGCATTAAAATAAAATCTGGTCACAAGCCCATCATAGATTTAGTAATAAATTAATTTAAAAATACATGTGAAATCCTCCATGTGCCAGACTTTGTCAGTAGACAGGATGGACATTATCCCTGTCCTCCTGCAGCTGACAGCCATGTGACAAGATGCATCTAAAGACAGTTTGCTCAAATACTGACATGTGGTAAGTTAGGGGAGGCAAAGGAAGATACAGGGTCACACAGAAGACTTAACAGGAAATTTCTCTTAGTTGGATGTCCTAGTTACTTTCTTGTTGCTGGGACACAATGCTGGATAACCGCAGCTCTAAGAACAGACTTATTTTGGCTGACACTGTGTAGAGGTTTCAGTCCATAGTCAGCTGGCTCCAAGGCAGGGTGGCATGGCAGAGGGGCATCACAGAGGAGAAACAGCTCGTGGAATGGCTGCAGAAGGCAGTAACAGTGAAGAGAGGGGCAGAGAGGAGATAAATTCTTCCATTCCATGACCCTGATGACACACCTCTTCTGACCAGATCCCGCTTTGTTTTTTTTTTTTGGTTTTGTTTGTTTGTTTGTTTTTGGTACTGGGAATTGAATTCAAGACCTCACACTTGCCAGGCAGGCACTGTACCACTGAGCTAAATCCCCAGACCCTACCTCTTGACTAAGTCAGTTATAAATTCAGTGGTGAACTAATCCATTGAACAGTGTCACACCACTGCGATCCAATTACGTTTCCCAAAGTACTACACTTGATCTTAGCCAAAAGGACGAGAAGCGATACTTCCCAAAGTACTGCCTATGAGTACATTGCATGAGATTTTGCAGAAACAGCTGGGTAGAAACCAGAACAGTGGGCGAGGAATTGAGGAAGTAACATGTGGTTCAAGCCTTCAGAGTGGGTAAGACTAAGAAGCTGTGTTGGTCTGTGCCTAGATCTCCAATCCCCCAAAATGGTACGTGGCGAAGGCCCAAAGGAATGAGACAAGTGGCATGATTCTTAGGGTTGCAGGAGGACTGAAATCCTCGGCAGAGCTAACTCTGCTAGCTGAGTGGCCGACTGACCCTGGGCAGCCCACATTTAATCAGAACAAGCAAGGAGCTGAGTGGTAAACACAGAAAACATGAGCAGGATCTTGGGAGGGGTCCTTGAACCCCTCAGAGCAACAGAGGATGCCAATTAAGGAAAACTACCCAGAAAGTCTCCAGGGGCTTCAGTTGTGGCCTGTCTTGCCCCCTGAGGTGTCTCCTTGTTCTCAGTTTGGCAGTGCTGGGCCATGCCACAGCCCTGTACGTGTACTCAGCTTCAACGGCTCCAACAAAGGTTAAGAGCGTTTCACCTAGAGAAAGCAGTATCTGCTGACTAGGAAAACGAGGAGTTGAGGTGAACACGGAGAAAACTGTCTTATTTGTGTATTTGACTCTTTTTTAAAAGTTAAGAAATATTTTTTTAAATGGGGTGTGGTGACACATGCCATAAGTTCCAGGCCAACCTGGGCCACAGAGGGAGTTCAAGACCAGCTCAAACTCCCTAGCAAGAACTCTGTCTCACAAAACAAGTGCACACACATTTTTTTTACTGTAGTGAAACATATGTAATGTGAAATTTGCCACGTTCACTGTTTTAGCAATGCAACCCAGGGGCATTAGTTACGTACGCAGTGTTGTGCAACCAGGGTCACAATTTCATCACCCTAACCAGAAACTTGAAACAATTAAGCAATAACTGCCCATCCCTCTCCGCTTCCTGTCCTGTGAGTTTGCCTGTTCTAGCTATTTCATGCGAGTGGAATCATACAGCATTTGTCTTTTTGAGCCTGGTTTCTTTTGCTTTTGTTTTCGAGGTCCATTCAAACTGTAGCATATGTCACAACTTACTCCTTTTTATCATCCATTTTGTTGCATACATCAGAACTTTTTTATTTCTTGTTTTCTGAAGCAGGATCTTACTACGTAGTGCAGGCTGCCCTTGGACTCACTTATGTAGCCCAAGCCGGCCTTGAGCTCACAGTAATCCTCCTGCCTCAGCCTCCTGAGGGCTGGGATTTCATTTCTTTTATGACTGAAAAATACTCCCTTGTATGTATATACCATATATATATATTTTAAATCATATTTTATTTACCTACTCCCAATATACACTTGAGTTGTTTCCAGTTTTTTTTAAAGTAGTACTGGGAATTGAGCTCAAGTTACATCCCTGAACTTTTTAAAATTTTAAAATTTTGAAACAGGGTCTTGCTAAATTACCTAGAGTGGCCTTGGACTTGCAGTCCTCCTGCCCCAGCCTGCCAAGTGCCTGGGATTATGAGCCTGGCTGTTTCCATCCCTGGGCTAATAGGAACATCATTCTGAACACTGGATACAAGTACCTATTGGAGTCTTTGTTTTCAATTCCTTTTTGGATATCTTCCTAGAAATCGGATTGTCAGGTCATATGGTTATTTTACATTTAACATTTTGAGAAATTTCTAATCTGTTTTTTAGCATGATTTACATCATTTTACACTCCGTCCATTAGTGCCTAAGGGTTTGTTTCTCCATATCCATCAGCGCTGTGTATGCATTTGCCTTTTCCTCTTTGTTTTTGGGGAGGCTATAACCATGTCTATATCACAGTATCTCTCCGTGTTTAATTCTGACTCTTATCTCACTAAGACCCCATCTCTGCTGAGACTCTCACAAGTGTCTGACTTCCTAAATAAATGCAATTTTAAGGCAAGGTAAGACTAGGGGATCAATCTGAATCTCCAGTGTCTACCACCTGGCAGGTATTCAAGAAATAAATGATTGCCAGCTGTGGTGCCACTTGCCTGAAATCCCAGCACTCAGGAGGCTGAGGCAGGAGGATCACCACGAGTCTGAGGCAAGCTGGGCTACAAAATGAGTTCCAAGCCAGCCCAAACCTCATCATGAGGCCCTGTCTAAAATAAGATTGTGCCAAAGGTTGCAGATCCTGTTTAACTCATGCTAACAGTCCCAGTAGACAAGTGTCTGAGATATTTGCCTGATCCTAAGGAATTACTTTTCCTGCTGTGTGAGGGAATTGGTTGGTGGGTGTCATTAAACACTGGGGCCAGGGCCAGGGTGTAGCTCAATGGTAGAGTACGTGCGCGTGGCCCTGGGTTTGATCCCAGCATTGGAAACAACAGAACAAAACTGTGACTCTGATCTCTGCCCTGTCTTTGCTCTGGTCCCGTGAGTTTCTCTCCACTGCACTTAGTGAGTTCCTGGCTATCAATCACTATACTTACAGCATTCTGCCAACTCTGGCCTGACCTCCTCCTGGGACCATTTTCCCACCTGCCTTCTTCTTCATTAGGCTTCTAGTTATTCCACAGATGCAGGAGCCATTCTCTGCATTCGGGTCTTTGTGTCTTTGGCTCCTTTTTATAGGAATTCCTCACTCCTCCAAATCTGCCCCTTGCTTACTTTGCTGCCTTAGTCCTTCTCACCCTGGTCTTGCTGAGATCAGTTTCCTTAGGAAAATGTCTCCTGACCCTCTTCCCACTCCTATGTTTCCCCCTCATAGTATCTTTTTCCTTTTCTGCATAGAAAATGGAAGAAAAATAACTATTTGTGTATTTGGAATTCACCTTCTAAATAACAAACTCTATCAGACAGAAATCCATGTTTATATTCATCAGTATTAGGCATACGGTAGTATTTATATATTTTTTTTTACACTTTTTTTTTTTTTCTTTTTATGGGTACCGGGGATCGAACTCATGACCGCCTGCTTGCAAGGAAGGCGTTTATGCTGCTGGGCTAAATCATATTAATCACATTTTTGTTGCTGGGACAAGCTACCTTACACATGAAATTTAAAAGAGAAAAATATTTATTTCAGAGGTTTCAGTCTATGATCAGCTGGCTCCAAGGCAGGAATGGCATGGTGAACAGCAGAAGAAAACTGTTCACATATGGGGTTCATGAAGCAGAGAGCCTGGAAAGAGAGCCAGAAGAAGGGCCAGGGACAAGAGAAGGGGCCAGGTCAGCTCCTGGTGTGACCACCTTCACTAACTAGGTCCTACCTCTTAACAGCACATTCAGCTATGAACTCATCAATTGATTAATCCACTGATTAGCATAACATCCCTCCCTCTTCCAAAATCTACATGATATCTATCATTCTACAACTTGCTATTTTCATAGTAACCTACCAAGTAGGGTATGGTGGTATATGTTTATAATCCCAGATACTGAGGAGGTTGAGGTAGGAGAATTCAGCACCTTACACCCTAATTCAAAATAAATACAAAGAGCTCAGCAGTAGAACATCCCTGGGTTTGATCTCTAGTATAGAAAAAAATTGATCTCTATATCTATACCTATCTATGTAGAGTCTGCAAAAAACATATACACATTTCAGGAAAAGAAAAATAGTATGCTTTTTCAACAGATGGTGTCATCCTCGTATGGCGGACCTTACAGGATGTTTGCTGTGGTCACATGGCTCTTGACCGTCTCTGGGTGAGGGCTGTGAAGAGTGACGAGAAGATGAGGAAGACAAGATAATGGAAAGCTGGGATCAGGTGGAGTCTTCTGTCTAGATGGGAGCAAAGGAACTGCTCAACCACTGCAGTGCGTTTATTTACACATTCAGCAGATTGATGTCATATGACCCCTCCGCCCCTTTGCCTAGCAACCTGCCTGCATGGTAGTCTAAGGGCTTGGTGTTTTCTGGACTGGAGTGGCTTGTTCACATGGTGCACCTCTGGCGCTTTTTGTTCTTGGGTTGGCCTTGGCCCATCCCTGCACATGTGATCAATTTCCAGCTTCAGTTGCTCCCCACAGATGTTGTATATTGCAAAGAACCCACTACACTGTCAATTCTTAGAGAAGAAATTCAAAATGCATGCAATCTCAATGGGCCAAGATTATGCGAACAGCATCTGGCAATACTAATAAAGATGTGGAAGCTAATAGCCACCACTTTGAGCACCTCTTGTGATTGTAGAAGCCAGAGGTAATTTATAATTACTCTCACGATGTCTTAGTAAGGTTACTGTTAAAATATTTATACAGTTTTTTTTGAAGTGTGTACACTTTTTTTTGGTGTTCTTTGTGTATCTATATGTCTCTAACTTGATCTATCTATCTTGATATTAAGGTCATGTTTATTTGCAGTACTGAGGATTGAACCAGGGCCTATGCCCTAAACTACATCCCCAAACTGTTTTCTTGAGGCTAGACCTTCCTAAGTGTTATAGCTTAAGTATACACCCTCCTCCCCCACCTCAGGTGCTCATAGTTAGGGATTTGGGGAGGTGACTGGACCATGGAAGTGTGACATTGGGTCATGGTGTATGCCCTAGTGGCACCTCAATTCAGGATCCCTTTTGTTTATGAACAATTTGTTTCACGAACAGAAGCATTTGGTGAAATTTTGTTTTTGTTTGCAAATTCCACATCAGGTGATGAACATGACACTGATCCTCTTTCTTGCATGAATCTGAACATGACCGTGGCCATTGTGAACGGAAATACCACTGTACTGGAGCCACCTACTGATGGGTTCATAGTGGTGCTGAGCAATGGAGCCTGGTGGGAGGAGGCGGCCCCTGGTCCATGGCCTGCAGGGTACATAACCCTCCTCTTCCCTTGGGTCCCTCAGTGCTTCCTGCTTGCTGCTATCTGCTTCCTTCCTGCCATGCTGTGAGCTGTTCTTACTCTGCGATGCCCCTCTGCCACACCACACTGCCTTGCAGTCAGCTGACTATGGGCTGAAATAAGTCTTTTCTCCTTTAACTTGGGGTGTTAGGCATTTTGGCTCAGCAACAAGAAAAAGTCACTAAGATACCTGGCTCATTTGATTTTGTTTCTTTTTTTCTTTTTATTGGCTCATTTGATTTTTAAAATTATTATTTTTCATTATTTTGGGAGACTTTTGTATTATAAAAAGAATTAATGAGGAAGTATAAAGAAAATATCTGAAGTCTTATCACTGAGAGAAAACCATTGTCAATAAATGCAGTCACGTACTTCCTGCCATGCTTTTGTGTGTACTTTTTTTTTTGTTGCTGTCGCACAATTTGAGATCACAGTGCATTTGTGTCATGCACAAATGCAATTGGTACCAGTCTAAGGGAAAAAGAAACCTTTTAAAAATGCACTTGGTAGGGGCTAGGGATTTAGCTCAGTGGCATAAGCGCCTGCCTTGCAAATAAGCAGTCATGAGTTCAATACCCGGATAAAAAGACCAAAAAAAAAAAAAAATGCACTTGGTGTAAGATGGTATTAAGATAGCTTTCAACCCTTCCAATGTTTTGACCACGTACCCTGTACCCTGAAAAGTGCGGTTAGGGGAGAGGTGCAGCCTGCCTCCTGTAAATCCTAGTGGAGGTGTGGAGAACTTTCCTTTCTCTCCTGCTCCTCACTTGGCTTCCTCCCCATCCTCTAAAGCAGGCTGTCTGGCCAGCCATATCTGGTGGGTGCTCACGTGCAGGGCAGTCAATACCAGGAGTTTGCTCTGATGGTGCCAACAAACATTTGGCTTGATCTTGAGTAACAGATTCTAAAGGAGCCACCGTGGAATCCACCTGCTGCAGGAGGAGAAAGGTAAAGACCCTCAGGAACGATGGGAATACACCAGCCTCAGTGAAGAGAAGACTTCAGGCAAAAAAGCTCCAGATCTGCGGGAGGCTATCCTGGGACGTGAAGGGCCATAGCTCAGGCTGGGCCCTCAGAGCTGCCCGGATCCAGGGGTGCCGCGCTCCACGAGTAAGCAGTCTGCCCCTGAAGCGGTGGGCGTGTGGACACTCCATGCTTGCTGGGTACCAGGGTGGAACTGAACGTGGGATCTACACCAGCTCGTTTCCCTCTCTCAGTGCGGTGTGGAAGGGGAACTGGCCAGGTACCACGCTCGAACTGGGGTTCGAATCCTTTCTCGTGAACTCCGTGGCCTGTGCTTTGAGCTCCCACGGTGATTCAAGGAGACTGAAGGGTTGGCGAAGAACATCCCTCTGCACCTCGGCCACAGCCAGGCGTCCATGGGCTGAAGAACCTCAGATCTTCGCTAGGGGCAGACGCCAGGGTTCGGAAAGTCGCCTGCCGCAACGCGCACCCCGCCAGGGAGCGTCGCCCCGGCAGCCGGCCTCTAACGGCCCAGCCCAGGGACCGAAACACCAGCGGGTCACTAGCGCGGCGCGCGGAGGGGGCGTGGCGTCGGGGACGGGGCGGGGAGGGGGCACTGCGGCGGGGGCTGCTGTGGGCGGGGCGTCGGGGGAGGGAAAAGGGCACCGCGGGCGCGCGTTGGGGGCGGGGCAAGGCGTGGGCGGCGCGCCGCGGGTGAGAGGGGCGGCACTGCGGGCGCGCGCCCAGGCGGCTGCGGCAGTTGCGCGCTGGGATTGCTGCCGAGCGGCTGACTGGTGAGTGCGGCGGGGCCTCGGGCTGGCGGGCTGGCGGGGAGAGGATGCCTGAACGACGGAGGGCGGGTTGACGACCACGCACGCGACCCTGGCCGGGTCGGGGGCCGCCTCCGACCGAGTCGCCCGCGGCGGTGGCGCTCGGGCCCCTGTCAGGCGGAGCCCCGCCCGCGGACCCCGCGCGCCCCCTGCCCTGGCCGCGGCGACGCCCCCGGCTCGCGTCACGCTCGCGCCATTGTTTCCCGGCGTGGGGTCGCGGGGACCCACCTCACAGTGCTCTGCGCCTTCCTCGGCCGATACCCAGAGCCCTGCGGGCGTGTTGCGGCAGCCTTGTCCCTAAGGGTACCCCCGGCCCCTGCCCCGGCCCGAGGACCCTGCGGGCATCCGCTGCTGGGCTGTGGGGCCCGCAGGGCTCCCGGCGCCCGCTGCCTGCTGGCCACTCGCCGTCGGTGGGGCGCAGCGCTTCCTGGAAAGCTCCCGTGGACGCGCCGCCTCGCCGCCCGGGACCGTCAGTTCCTTCCGTCTCCCGGGGCGGGGCTCGGGGCGCGGGCCTCGTGCTTCTTCGTGACAGTGATGTTCGGGGGTTAAAAGTGCTGAGTGGAGCTTGGTGTCCGACTTGTTTCTCGGCTTTCACCTTTCTGGCGGGTGTGTTTGAATTGTGTGCTCTAAGTACGCTCAGTCTGAAACCATCAGTCTCCATTACCAAACTGCGTTCGCTAGGTGCTGCGCGCTGCGGGGCACCGACGGAAGACTCCTGTGTTCCACAGTGTCTAGAGACTGATAATTTTTGCCTCTTAAAGCAACGGGTGCAAACCCTGCCGACAGGGGTGTGAAGTGGAGAATTCCAGGGAAGCAGTGCCATTTGCCATGACCTCATGTTACTGAGTATAGTCAAGATTCAGGTTTTTTTTTTTTTTTTTTTTTTTTTTTTCTTTTTTTTTTAAGCCAGTCAAATTTAGCAGTGGGGGTGGTGGTGGTGGTATACCAACTTTAGTGACACTAAGATTCAGGTCTTTAAAATGGACCCTTTCAACAGTGTTAAGAGTTTATCCAGATGAAGACATCCCTGCCGGAAAAGGTTAAGTGTAAAAAGGCAGAATCAGGCCAGGTGGGATGGCACACCTGTAATCCCAGCGCTCAAGGCTGAGGCAGGAGGATCACAGCCAGCTTGAGCTATATAGTGAATTAAAGGCCGTAATTAACCACATAGCGAGACCCTGTCTCAAAAAAGCTAAAGACAAACAAAAACAAGACAAACAACAAACAACACAAAATACATAACCAGTTACTAATTAAAATCAAAACTGCTGGGTTGATGCTAGCCCTGTCTCTGAAGTGCATTTCCACAACCGTGTAAACCACTTCACTTCAGCTAATATAGATATATTTCTGCATTACTCTCAGCACAGAGTTTAGGTTTTAGCACTGTGTAACTGGCTGATCTATTAAATAAGTGGACCTGGGTGGGGGGTGTACACCCCTCTAATCCTACCACTTTGGGGGGCTGAGTTTGGAAGATAAGTTTGATTCAAGCCCAAGCGGTTTAGCCACGCTGTGTGGGAGTGTGGTTCAGCGTGAAGGCCTTGGGTTAAGTCTGTAGTACTGGGGAAAACAAAAAAGGTGACGGTGAGCGCTGAGGAGATGTTTGCCAAAGTTCCATTCAGTTCTGAAATCTCATGTCTTTGTATGAAAATTTACAATTGTCTATAAGATTCCAGAAACTTACAAGGTGTCAGTTGACGGTAAGGAGAGAAAGCTAATACGTCATACGGAGAGTATAGTGGATAGATTGTGCTTACTAAGACTGGGCATTTGGTAGAATAGTGGTATGAGATAACTGGAAGGAGTTCTGGTAAGCTGTTTACAAGATAGGCAGCTTGGATCCTTGTTAGAGAATAAATGAAGAACTTCTTAGTTGGTGTTTTCTCCTAGGCTTAGCTTTTTTAAGTTAAGACATGAAGTTACTTGCCTGAAGGAAGTCAGTAGCAAGTTATCATGAAGTGCTAAAGTTCTAGTCACTTGACCCAGTAAGTTTTTTACTTTTTATTTCTTGGTTTATTGAGACAGGATTCTGTTATGTAGTTAGGCTACCCTTCAGTCACTATGGTGTGTAACCCAGACTAGCTTTCAACTTGCTTAACTAATTAATTTGGTTGCAACTTTTAATAACTGGTTACCAACATTTGCAGTAGTTGTGGAATATCATTTAGCAACAAACCAGTAAATGCAAAACTGCCATCAAGGCAGCAAAAACACCCCGTTGTTATCGTGAATATAGAATCACAAAGATTAAATTGACTCGGTGAAGGGTGAACTATTTGTTCTTACCTTCCACATCTTTTTTGCTGGCAAGCGTTGGTCAAGGGTGTGAGACCAAGTAGCCTCTTTGGCAGGTTCTGCTTAGAAAGAGAAGCCTGAAGTCTGGTGTGTGAAATTTAATGTCTTAAAAAAAAGTCAGTCTACTATTAGGTAATATGCTCCTTTTTCAGATGTCCAGTTGGAACATACTTTTTTCCTTTATAAAATTTTTTCTTGTATTATTTTTCAATTAAAAAGTGATTTTTCTTTTTTAATGGTATATATACTTTTCTTGCTTTTGTTTTTGTTTTTTTTGGGTCAGGGCCTCACTGCGTTGTTCAGGCTACACTTGAACTCACTATGTAGTTCAGCCTGTCCTTGAACTCCTGCAATCTTCCTGTCTCAGCCTCTGAATGCTGGGATTCCTGGGGTGCACCACCCAGCAGTGGTATACATATTCTTAAAAGCTCCTTGGTTTTATTTAATGGATTTCTTTAGTGTTTTAACTTAAAATTTTCTTTATGAAATATTTCAAACATACAAAAGATAATATAATGACCATTTAGTATATCTACCATTCACCTCCTTTGTCAAGTCTTAAAAGTTAAGATCTCGTATTTATATTTTTAAAAATCATTTTCAATTATGTGTTGTCTTATAAACACTAACGATACAGTTGAAGTCAGTATGAATCCTGTCCTGTTCATCTTATCTAGTACTTCCTTTCTACTGTCATCAATTAGGCAATTCCAATTATATTTTTATACTTTTATTATGTCCATGAAAGTACATGCATTTATTTACTATACATATTTTGACATTTTATACATTTATATATACATATATATCTTGATTCGTTATTCAGCTTTCAAAAATTTCTCTTCCTGTGCTGGAGATTGAGTCCAGCGTGTTAGGCAAACACTGCACGCTTAGCTGTCTCCTGTCCCGTGTTCAGCTTTTCCTCCCAGGACTGAGGATTGAATCCAGGGCCTGGCACGTGCTAGACAGGCACTCTACCACTGAGCTACATCTCTCACCCTTTTTTGTTTTGAAACATGATCTAAGTTGTCCAGACTGGCCTGGAATCTTTTTTTTTTGGCCTCAAACTTTTGATCCTCTTGCCTCAGCCTCCTGGGCAGCTGAGATTGGAAGTGTTTACCACCATGTCTGGCTTCAACATTTTTGTTGATACATCATTCATTTCAGTTGCTCTGTTGTGTTCCATTATATGAATAAACCACTGTTTTTGGAAGGTGTTTCTGACTTTTTATATTATTAATAATACTATGATAAGCATTCTTGCATATGGGAAAAATTTGAAGCCTAG